TAGCACGGTCTCGTGCAGAGTCTTCAGAGCGGCGCGTCAGTTCCAGGCGAGTCGAGCACAGTGAAGCGACAGTCGAACGCGCTGGAAGGAGGACGTAGTGCGATCTGTGTAGAGTTCAGCCTGGAGGCCAATCAGGCCTATGTCGCTGGAGATCTCTTCCAGAGAGCGACTTGGCGAGATGCTGGAGGAGCGATGGCCGGACAGGCAGCGGTGGGCAATCTCAATCTCCCCGCAATCTCCCCGCAATCTCTGCCGGAGCGACCTCGATCTCCCCGCAATCTCCCCGCAATCTCCCCGCAATCTCCCCGCGTTCCCAATCTGCGGGAGCGATCTCGAGCTCGCCCCGAGGGGGCGCGGGGACGAGGAGGAGAAGGGATGCGTCGCCCCCCTCTGCGCAGCGAGGGCGAGGAGATTGCGGGGAGATTGCGGGGAGACTGCGGGGAGGTTCAGACTGCGACGAGATGGCGGGGAGATGGCGAGGAGATGGCGGGGAGAGTGCGCGGAGATTAAGAATGCGGGGAGGTCGCGAGCTTCCATCGGGGGGGCGCGGCCGCGCTGTCGGCGCCCTGCTGCTGCGCCTCCATCTCCAGACGCGCCGCCTCCTCGAGCTGCTGCTTGTGCGCCTGCAGGAAGGTTCCAGGAACGGTCGAGGAGCGGTCGGGGAGAGGGCGCCGCCTCCTCGATGCCGCGGCGTGTGCGCCTTCGTGAGCGACTTGACGCTCTCCTGCAGCACCTTGAGCGCGGACACCGCCGCCGCGAGCGTGCGCTCCGTGGTTTGCACCGCGCCCTTGGCCGCCTCCTCGCGGGCCTGCTGCGCCTAAGGTAAGGTACGGTAAGGTAAGGTACACTTCTCCACACACACGAGGTGGTGGGGCAAGGGCCAGGCAACCCTCGCGTCTCCACGTCTAACGACAGGAGCCCCACGGCATTCAAAGTGTGTGTGTGTGTGTGTGTGTGTGTGTGTGTGTGTGTGTGTGTGTGTGTGTGTGTGTGTGTGTGTGTGTGTGTGTATGTGTGTGTGTGTGTGTGTGTGTGTGTGTGTGTGCTGCGCCTTGCCGCTGCTGTCGCCGCCGTCGCGCTGCCTCGCCGCGTCCAACTTCGGCAGCGCCTCGCGCGCCTTGCGCTGCTCCTTGTCGTATGTACGGGTACTCTGCGACCTTGCGCCGCT